GAGGCTGTGATGGCTTTGGGGTTCATCCTCATCTCTCGGTGGGGCGAGCCGCACTCAGACATGGCCTTCATCAGCGTGTGGACGCACGCCGTCTTCCCAGCACCGCTCGGACCCAGCGTCATCATACCTGCACGAGCACAGGACAGCTCGACTCCCATCTGTGCTGAAGACTCTTTAGCATTGCCATCAGTGTGTCTGTGACCTCAGCATTATTGAACACTGGCTGTATATAAAATAAAGAATTGTGCACCAGAAGCTTTTTAAACTTTATATACCAAATTATGTTATATAACATTTACGTTTTTAATAAGCTGTTGGTGAGTGTGTAATATCCTGTTACTATATCCACAGTAAGTGTGGGTTATGTTGTTGTGACGGCAGCCAAAGACAGATTGTCTTGGTGTTGTGTTTAACAGCGTTAATGAAGCCACAATGTTGTGAAACTCTGTGTACATGTAGAATAATAACCTGCACTGAAAACTGTTTAAACCTCATGTTGAGGAGAAAGTTAGCAAACCTTTGCAGCACTTTCTAATCACATGAGACTGATGAGTCTAAACGTGCAGTTTATGTGTTTAATGACCATAGAAACTCATGTTGAGCCTGCTTTCCACTAATTTACACTGGAACTGTAAATGAAGCTGAGTGGCGAGACGAGAAAGACTCATTAATGTGTCACTGCGTCCAGATAATTGTGTCTGTCTGTCGGGATCGTCACCATGTCGGACTCTCTGCGTCTCATAGAGCTGGACCAGTTTGAGGATCCAGGGCGGGTGAGGGATCAGACCGGCCTGCTGAGCCTGATTAAAGATGGCCGACTCCAAGTCTGGATAACCGGCTTTATCCAGAACTGTAGAGGCGGATGAAAGAAAAGCACACAGTATGAGAGCCGTCGTGTACTCATGGAGCCTCTGCTAGTGTGTTTCAGTGTGATGTGAAAGAAACGTACCAATGCCAGGAAACAGGTCATTGATCAGACTCATGAACAGAGGCTCGTCCTCGTCCACCTGCAGAAAGTCACACAAGCAATCAGGATGGCTGACTGTGGCAATGACAAGGGCTCCCCCTAGTGGGCAACTCTAACAGTCTGATAATAATGAAATGAAAACTTTAAACATAAAGTCTTATTTCTGCATTTATTACTAACACACACACCAGTTTGGAGAGGTTCATGTCCCTCAGGACCCTCATCACCACGGTCTTCTCTGGTTCTGACGGGTTGGATCGCTTCACAGCTCCCAACGTCCTCAAAACCGACAAAATGTTCCTCAGACCGAAATCATAATGGACCTGGTAAGAAAGACCAGAGAAGCCATAAATAATAATATAACTAAATGCATGAGTAACACTTTACAAAGAAAGGCAACGGAGAAATGAGAAAATCCATCATCTAACACCAAGAAGGGCAGGATGTGTGGTGGTTACAGCTGCAGGATCACCCACCTGTTTGGACAGCTGCTCCTCACACAGTTTGTAGAGGGTGTAGAACTTCCTGCTTAGGACCTGGTTGTCACGGAAACCAGCACTGGCCAATTTAACCCTCATGATGATGGCTCGGTCCGGGACCATCATGGCTACTGTGCGGAACTGAATCTTCAGGTTTTCAGGCAGCTCCTGACGGCCGGCGTAACCGGGATTCTGGAAAACCGAGAAGTTACTAGAAGTTTCTGAGCGGAGGAACATCAGCACGCTCAGTGCTGGAACTGTGGCTCACTGTAGTTACTGAGCTGCCTTCATGTATCCACAACTGCTCACCTAAAGAACACTGAATAGTGAACAGTGCATTGTTTCATATGCAGAGTGACTCTGATGATTTATCGTTGACTTATACTAACACCAGAGTGTTCATTAGATCAGAGGTACCATGGTGAGGAAGATGCCGAACTCGGGATCCATGTCGACCACATCTCCGTCGGTGAAGACGAACTGCTTCTTCTTGTTCTTCTTACACTGCAGCACGATGTAGATCTGCTGGGCGGCGACAGAAAGCACCGGCAGCTCGATGCGGTTAAACTCATCGAAGCAGCCCCAGGCTCCGGACTGAGCCAGACCTGCAGACACAGCACTGCACTTTCAGATCAGCATTTTGATAGAGTGATCACGTTTATTACATGTTAAGAAGATGCTGTGACTTATGTATCATACAGAGTTATGTATCATAGAAGAGTGGGCGACTGGCCTCCACTGACTTCCACACTTTTGTCTCTGACTCAGGAGAAACATGTCTTCATGAGGATCTGCAGCTCTGGCATGGCTCTGTATTCAAGAACAGCTAATGAACATTTGTTCCAGGTTCCCACAGACAACAGCTGTGGGTCCATGTTAGGTAGTGAACCTCTGCAGAGCCCTGTCCTGTCAGAGCGG